GCTCACTGCAACCTCCACCTCCTGGGTTCCAGTGATTCTCCTGTCTCAGACTCCCGAGTAGCTGGGATCATAGGATGTACCTCCATGCCCAGTTAATTTTTGTATTTTTAGTAGAGACAGGGTTTCACTATGTTGGCCAGGCTGGTCTCAAAACTCCTGATCTGCCCACCTCAGCCTCCCAAAGTGCTGGGATTACAGGCATGAGCCATCACTCCTGGCCTCTATTTGGTTCTTTTTATAATTTCTATCTCTTTACTGAGATTCTCCATTTGGTGAGACATCATTCCTGTAGTCTCCTTTAGTTCTTTAGACATGGTTTCCTTTTGTTCTTTAAACACATTTGTAATAGCTGTTTTGAAATCTTTATCTGCTAAGTCAGACATCTGGGCCTCCTCAAAGGTGGTTTCTATCACCTGCTTAACTTCCTATGTATGGGCTACACTTTCCTGTTGTTTTTTTTTTTTTCATGGCTCAGAATGTTTTGTTGAAAACTGGAAACTTTAGAAGATACGTTGAAGAAACTGTGGATAATGATCCCCCTGGGCCTTGTTGTTGCTACTGTTTGCTTGTTTATGTTAGTGACCTGGTCCTGCTTTTCAATGAAGCTTATTTCCCCTGCAGTGTGCAGCTACTGATATTGCTCCCCAGAGGTCACAGCCTTGGGCATATGCACAGTCACTCTGACTGCACCCCTACTCCTAACTCCCTGGGACAGTGGCATTAGCCAGGCTCTCTTTGACTATCTTTCCCAGATCTTTCCATTAAGCTTCTGGTCATTCTGCCTCTATTGCTGTCACACCCAACTGTTAGCCTTCACTAACTGCTAGCTGCTACTAACTGCTAGTACAACTGATTGTGTATTGTTTATGACAATGTCCTGGGGTATATAGCTTGTTCTCAGTATGACCTAATTAAATTCTAGAACATTCACAGGGGCAGGGTGTTGCCAGTTGAGGTGTATTGAGACCTTCAGGAGGGCTCTTAGCTATCTTTGTCCATGGTTCTGTTTGTTTAACTTCTATAGGTTGAGTACCTTTCATCTGAAAATCTGAAATCCAAAACACTTCTGGTTCCCAGCCTTTCAGATGAGGGATACTCGACCTGTAGTTGGTTTAACATTTTGTTTGTTGCTATTAGGACCACCGGCCTCCTCTTAGTTGCTCATTGCTAAGACTACTATTGTTTTTTGACAATGCCCTTAGACATGAACATCCTCCATGCTCTGTTTCAGATCAAAATCAGTCCCCTTAGGGAGAGCTATGAAGCTGTCTGTTCTGACTCTCCCTCTGGGTAGACCCCTGCACCACTGCAGGAGAGCTAGGAGCAGGGACAGTCACCTGCTTCTCCCGGAGTGACACTCCTGGCCTATAAGCTATTCACTAGATGGGAATGGTAGCCCCTAGTCTTCTGGGCTTGCCCCTTTCAACATGGAACCTCTGCCCTACAAGCAAGCTGGAGAGGGGGCCATTAGGTCCACTATTCTTGGCCCGGTGAACCTGGAACAGAGCTTCTGTGCTATGAGTGGGGCCTGGGTAGGGAAAAGGGGCCCCAGGCCTCTTGTCCACCCCACTGGGAATAGACTCTGCTACAGAGTTGAGAGGGATGACACCAGTGGTCTGGCTTTCTTAGTATGAAACTATAGCCTCGGACTTGGAGCTTGGAGTAGTGGGGGCCCTGTCTTCTTGGCAGTAAAGCTCCTGTCACACTGAGCTAGGGGAGGAATGAGGGAAGGCTGTGGCTCAAATGCCATAGACTTTTGCTTTTCTTACCAAGATTTAATAGATTTTCTTGAAAAAAATCCTTCTTCATTTGTTGTATAGACCTTAGGACAATATCCACAGACTTTAAATGGTTGCTTTTTATTTTTATTTTTTATTTTTTATTTTTTTTGAGATGGAGTCTTGCTCTGTTGCTCAGGCTGGAGTGCAGTGGCAGATCTCAACTCACTGCAACCTCGGCCTCCTAGATTCAAGCCATTCTCCTGCCTCAGCCTCCCCAGTAGCTGGGATTACAGGCACCCACCACCACACCCACCTAATTTTTGTATTTTTAGTAAAGACAGGGTTTCACCACATTGGCCAGGCTGGTTTCGAACTCCTGACCTCAAGTGATCCGCCTGCCTCAGCATCCCAAAGTGCTGGGATTACAGGAATGGTTGCTTTTTAAAAACTAATTTTCATTAGTTACTGGGGAAAGGGCTCACCAACCTCCTCACACTTCCATTCAAAGTTTCTATTTGTTGCCTGTTTTGTAAATAAAGTTTTATTGGAACACAGCCATGTCCATTCATTTATAGGTTGTCTATAGCTGCTTTCAAGTTCTGATGGCAGAACTGATTAATTGTAACAGAGATTATATAGCCTGCAAAGTTTACAGTAGTTACTCTCTGGCCCTTTTACAGAAAGAGTTTGCTGAGGAATGATTTGCTATGAAGAGTTTGCTGAGGAACGGCTGCATTCTCTTTCTGTTCTCTCTGTGGAAACAGTGCTACAACATTAAGTCATGCAAGGAAGGGTTAAAGAGTGGGCAGTCAGAACAGAAAGAAAAGTTCTATCCATCAATATATTAGAAATCATTGTTCTCTGGTTTTGGCTGTTTGTGGTCATTGACAGTTTTAAAACATTTTTGTGTGATGTGTTTTCTCATTTCAAGTCAGTAATCCATTTTGTACCTAATTGAATTCTTTAATTTGCAATCTTCTTCTTAAAGTAGGTCCCCTAAATTGTAGACTTTTTCTCTCCCTAAAGGAATGAGAGCACTGTGATCAGTTTAAGTTGTGGAATTGTGTTTCCAGCATGCTTCCTACATGCCAGCTTTGGACTTTATTCCTGGGTTTTACCATGTCGGCATATTACCTGTCCCTCTTTTCCATAGTGTTTTCTCTAAATTGCCTTTTTTTACTTAAATAAACGGTGTATGTCTTTCAGTCACTGGCCTGATAGGCCAGTGGTGTCTTTATAAACAGGCTGTGTGTGGGCCCCGGAGGGCACCTATCCTGGTGATGTGGTGTGGTGCAGGCTGTGGCAGAGGGGACCTGGTAGACCAGACACAGAGCAGCTGGAGGGCGGGAGGGTGGGTCGGCCAGCGGGAGGCGGGGCGGGCCAGCCCCTCACTGTGCCTCTTATTGCTTCTGGCAGATGAGGCTTGTCTTCCAGGGCCTCTGAGCATCTAGGGGCTAGGAGGGTAAGCTCCCACTGTGCCCTGGAGCCGGGCCAGGACATACGTGTCCCAGGCGCTGCAGGCTGCAGAGTGCAGGAGTGTCCCCACTGCCTGGTGTGAGGATGATGGAGGGACTGGCTTCCTGTCTTTCAGCATTGCTTTAAAGGACACTGCATCTGGCTGACACCTGACATCCTCAAACGGGATGGCAACTGGGGCGCTTGGAGCCCGTTTGGCTCCTGCTCACGTACCTGTGGCACCGGCGTGAAGTTCAGGACCCGCCAGTGCGACAACCCACAGTGAGTTGGCCCCACGTTCCCCCGGCCTTCCTGAGTGGCAGCTGAAGTTCTAAGAGACCTCTCCAGCCAGCCCTGTCCTGGAGGGTCCTGTGGCTACATACCAGTTCTAGAGAGGTGCAGAGCAGGCTGCCCCGCCTACCTCACCCTACCTGGGAGGGGCCAAGGCTCAGCGTATGCCTAGCCCTGCCTCTTCCCCCTTCCCCCTTCCCCCTTCCCCCTGCCTAGGCCCACGGCCCACCTGCCTGCAGCCCATTCTAGACAGGTTTACTCTGTCTCTCCTGGCCATGGGCATGGAGGAGAGGAGGTGGGACCAAGCTGGGGAAATGGCGGTAAAAGGGGACTCTCTCTCAGTCCCCAGCATGCTAGCACCTGGGCAGCTGTTTGCAGCCAGGTAAGGACAGGGTCAGGACTTGTCGTCAGTGTCCGGCTGCCCAGGGGAGGAACAGCCTATGGAGCCCGCCCATGCCAGCTGCACCCCACACTGAGCCACACTCCACCCCCGCCCGCCACACAGGCCCCATGCCCTGTACTGTCCTCCTGCTGCTTCTCATTCCTCCCACCTCACCCCACACACCCTGTAAATATCTCCTGGGCCCATGCTCCCTCCTTGGCCCACAGCCACGTTCTTATCCACACCCTCCTCCCCCTCCTCCACTGCCTGCCTCCTCTTGCCTGAATGCTCTCCCCGGCCTCGCCGAGGGAGCATCCCAGGGGTGGAAGGAAAACCCTCCATAAACATCAGCGTCACTCCCTTCTCCCACCTGCCCAGCAGGCCCTTACCCCGCAGCTACTTAGACACAGCGCATCTCTTTCCTTTTTGGCCTCTCTGGTATTTTAAAGATTTTGATTTGCCTGAAAATATTGGCAATCTGGAAATTTCATATTAGAAAAACAAAACAAATTTACAGCTTCCAAATTGGGCATCACAGATGCACGTCTGCACCCAGTTACCAGCTGGCGGGCAGGCTTCCAGGGTACGTCCCGGCTGCTGGGCTCCGTTCCGGCTGCTGGGCTTCCGTCTCTGTGGCCGCTCCTGGGTCCTGCTGGGTGGGCTCCGGCCTCTACAGCCACTCCTGGGTCCTGCTCACTTGCGCCTCTGCTTACTCTGGCCAGGCCTGAACTGGCCCTAGGGGAGCCAGAGAAGGCCAGCAGTCATGACTCTGGGAGGGAGTCCAGGCTGTGTCAGCAGGGCATGGGGACCCACGGGACCCTGCAGTGGAACAGCCTCCCTCAGCAGCATGTGTGAACACACGTGTGCATGGAGCCCTCTCCTCTCCCTGCTGTCCTCCTGCCCCAGGCTCCAGGCTGCCCTCCCAGCCAGGAGCAGATACAGATAGAGAATACTGTGGTCCCTCCTCAGGCCCTCTTGGGGCTTTTACACCGAACTCTGGAAAAGATTGCTGGGCATTTAGGTCCTCGAGAGGCAGTGTGGGGGTTGGTGCTGTTCTCAGTGAAGCGAAGCCGTTACAGAAGCGTAGCCCAACTTCTCTGCAGGGAGAAAACCCAGTGGCCGTGGTGCGTCCACCTTGTGCCAGACACTTGCTAGGAACAGCAGCACCAGGACTCTGGGGCCTCAGCATGCCTCTCTCTGTGCCAGGCTTGGTACCTGGGGCAGGCTGCAGAGGAGACTCACTCAGCGCCTGCCCTGCTGGGGTTTTGGCCCCTTGGGGAACACAGAACCTAAATACCTAATCACAGCTCCCTGTTCATTTACAAGCCCAGGCATCAGTGCTGGGTGCGGGGGTGGGGGTGCCGGAGCTGTGAGCAGATGCTGCCTCCTGGCAGGAGCCCCAAGAGAGAAGGACACGGCCATCCCTATCCTGTCCTTGAAGCTCCAAGACCTGATAGGCTGGAGAACTGTCCAGGTCTTACAGCTGGGACATGGCAGGGCAAGGTCCCTTTGCTCAGCAGAGCAGCCCTCTGACACCTGAGACTTAGGGATCCCCCCTAAAAAGATCTCACAAGTGGCACCTGGGTGCTACCTCTTTCCAATGGCACCAAGCAGCAAGTCCTTTGCTTTCCCTCCAGCCCAGCCAACGGAGGCCGTACCTGCTCGGGCCTTGCCTACGACTTCCAGCTCTGCAGCCGTCAGGACTGCCCCGACTCCTTGGCTGACTTCCGCGAGGAGCAGTGCCGCCAGTGGGACTTGTACTTCGAGCATGGTGATGCCCAGCACCACTGGCTGCCCCACGAGCACCGGGATGGTGAGCCCCTCGGGGAGGCAGCAGTGGGGGCTCAGCAGGCAGGCCCCAGGGTGGACAGGGGAGTGCTTGCCTTGGCCTGTTCCTCTAATCCTGCATGGGGCAAGGCTGCCTCGACCCTGGGCCATCAGGAGAGCCTACCCTGGCTGGTGTGGCTGCCCTGGCCCACTCCTGGACAGGGCCCTTAGGGTTCCTAGCAGGGCTGCAATCCCAGAGCAGCCAGAACACCTGGAGTCGCCAAGGACACGGAAGAGGCAGCTGGGCTGTGGGCTCAACACGGGCCAGGCTCCTGCAGTCCACGATCAGTGGACAAGGCTTGAGCTGTGTGGTCATCTCAGGGCTGAAGCCAGGGCTGACCCTGCAAGGAATCTGGTGACCTCTGACCCTCTCTATTAGTCAGGACTTTCAGTTGCAAGTGTCAGAAATGTGACTCCAACTGGTTCAGCATTAGAAGGCATTTATTGGCTCAGGGACCTGAGGAGTCTGGTGGTCTTGGGCATGACAGTGCTGGTGTAGCAGCTGGGGATCCCTCCTGCAACGGACAGTAAACATACAGTCTCTGTTTCTCCTCCATGGCTGTTGCCCTAGCCCAGCACCTGCTGCCCCATGTGGGCCAGTGCAGGGCTGGAGGTGACAGAGTAGACAGGGTCCCCCTCTGGTGGAGGCTACAGTATGGGGGCCCAGCATTTTAGTTGCATCTGAGATAAAGGGGCTGAGAAGGGAAGGTACCAGGGAACTGAGTCTGAATCAAAGTGGGCTGGCCTCATTCTGGATTTCTGAGATTGACTGAAAAATGTTCTTTATTTACCTTTTTTTTTTTTTTGAGACGGAGTCTTGCTCCATCACCCAGGTTGGAGTGCAGTGGCGCAGTCTCGGCTCACTGCAACCTCTGCCTCCCGGATTCAAGCAATTCTCCTGCCTCAGCCTCCCAAGTATGTGGGATTATAGGCACCCACCACCACACCCGGCTAATTTTTGTATTTTTAGTAGAGACGGGGTTTTACCATGTTGGCCAGGCTGGTCTCAAACTCCTGACCTTAAGTGATCCACCCGCCTCAGCCTCCCAAAGTGCTGGGATTACAAGCATGAGCCACCGCTCCTGGCCTGAAAAGGGTTATTTGGATCATGACCCAGCAAACAGCCATTTGCAGCCTCGGCGGTCTCCAGGCAGATCCTTGGGGATATGAGAGCTGGCTGCACCAACAGCCTGGCTGGCTCGGTTGGGAAAAGCTCTTCCAAAGTCTGCAACCACCACGGTCAAAGGCTCAGGAGACCTGGAGACAGGAAAGGGGCTGCTGTCACCCACCCCTTTCCCTTTCTATCTGTCCTGGAGGGTGGGCCACATGAGGGCGGGTAAGTCCTAAGATCCTCATGGGAATTTTTCCCTGCATGGCGCCTCCTTTGCACACACCTGGGGGAGCCATCAGGGCTCCTTGCAGACCCCCAGCTGCTTCCCTTCCAGCCAAGGAGAGATGCCACCTGTACTGTGAATCCAAGGAGACTGGGGAGGTGGTGTCCATGAAGCGCATGGTGCATGATGGGACACGCTGCTCCTACAAGGACGCCTTCAGCCTCTGCGTGCGTGGGGACTGCAGGGTGAGTACACAGAGCCCAGCACGGGGGGCTACCGTGACAAGTGTCAGCTTCCTGGGTACTGACCTCCCCCTTCTTGGGCTACTGGGAAGATGCCTGAGGTTAAGCACACAAAGTGTCAGAAACAGTGCCCGGACCAGGGCAAGCCCTTCGCAAATGTCTGCTTACCGCTTCCCTGTGCTGGGAGCCTCAGATGTGAGTGTGCCTAGGACTTCACCTCAGACATCCTGATTCCACAGGTCAGGGTAGCGGTGGCCTGGGAGCATGAATTTTGACGAGCATCCTGGATGATTTCCAATGCACATGACCTGCAGGGAACCCTTGTGAAGCAGGCTCCATCCTTAAATCCTGCAGGGCACTAGACAGCTTTTTGCGGGATCTGGGTAGCCACTGTGAGGGTCACTGGTTTGGTGCTTTGTAGAAATCCCCTGCCCTGTTTTCTTTGATTATAATATATTTGGCTTCAATCTTAAGGAAAAATAATCATGTGTCACCTCTGCATGTGACAGTGACATGAGCATAGACTTGTCCCTGCCAAACTCTCTTGCAAAAAACTGGAAGCCTCTGCTTAGGGCTTGTGTAGACAGGACTGACTGCAGGAGTCGTGGAGTCTGACTCCGGTTTTATCTTCTTGAGAAATAGCAGCGTCGGCAGGAAGGCACCTCTAGGGGAGTGGGCACTGGCACAGAGGTTTGGGGCTGGAGGCTGGGAGCTGGAGCAGGGAGCAGGGAGCTGGGAGCTGAAGCTGGAGCTGGGAGCTAGGAGCTGGAGCTGGGAGCTGGGAGCTGGAGCTGGAGCTGGGAGCTGGGAGCTGGAGCTGGAGCTGGGAGCTGGAGCTGGAACTGGGAGCTGGAGCTGGGAGCTGGAGCTAGGAGCTGGAGCAGGGAGTTGGGAGCTGGAGCAGGGAGCTGGAGCTGGAGCTGGAGCAGGGAGCTTGAGCAGGGAGCTGGGAGCTGGAGCTGGAGCTGGGAGCTGGAGCTGGGAGCTGGAGCAGGGGGTTGGGGTTGGAGCAGGGACGGGAGCTGGGAGCTGGGGCTGGAGGTGGGAGCTGGAGCTAGGAGGTGGTGGAGGGAGGTGGTGGTGGATCAGGGAGCTGGAGCTGGAGCAGGGAGCTGGGAGCTGGAGCTGGAGCTGGGAGCTGGAGCTGGAGCTGGGACTGGGAGCTGGGAGCTGGAGCTGGAGCTGGGGCTGGGAGCTGGAGCTGGAACTGGGAGCTGGAGCTGGAACTGGGAGCTGGAGCTAGGAGCTGGAGCAGGGAGCTGGGAGCTGGAGCAGGGAGCTGGGAGCTGGAGCAGGGAGCTGGGAGCTGGGAGCTGGAGCTGGAGCTGGAGCAGGGAGCTGGGAGCTGGAGCTGGGAGGGTGCTCGAGGGCTGCTGTGCATTTGCTCCTATGACTTTGGCAGAGCAGGGAGGCTGGCTCAGCCAGCTCAGCCAGAGCATGGCAGGGAAACCAGGCTATACAGCTGGCTCAGAGATGGTGACACGAAACACTCCAAAACAAGCACAGGCAACTGTCTGCTTCATACTCTTGGGATTTTAACTTACGGAGGTGACCCAGTGAGGACGTGGGGAGGCCAATGTCACTGAAGGGCTTTCTCAGGAAGGCAGGGCAGTGCAGGGGGAACAGCTCAGGAGTAGCTGGTTTGAATCATTCCATTGGGCTCTGGAGTTTAGGGTGGTCCCCAGTTGTCTGGTACCTGACCCTGGGATGATTTAAGGTGAAGGAATCTTGGTTTGGTATGTGAGGCTTGGATAAAGGGGGTGCTTGGGGTACAGACGGGACTGGCTGGTTTGCATATGAAAGGTGTGTCCCCAGCCCAGTGCTTTGCTGTCCCTTAGAATTGGGTGTTCCTGGCTGGTGTAGTCTCTCCCTGGCCAGGAGGATTTTTAAGCTGTCAAAATATCAACACATAGGAAAATTTTAAAAACAAAACAAAATTAATACAGGCAGCAAGCATGGGAAAGAGTTATAGTACAAGTAGCTTTAGATGGCAGCTGTGAATATGATTGTAAACCTAATGGGGTGGGAAGGTCACTAATCCGCTATCTCCATGGGTGTGGCTGTCAGTTCATTCCTGACGTTGATATTAAAGAAGGATAGGGCCTGAGTGCAGTGGCTCACGCCGGTAATCCCAGCATTTTGGGAGGCCAAGGTGGGCAAATATTTGAGGTCTGGAGTTTGACACCAGACTGACCAACATGGTGAAACCCCATCTCAACTAAAAATACAAAAAAAAAAAAAAAATTAGCCAGGCATGGTGGTGCATGCCTGTAGTCTCAGATGCTTGGGAGGCTGAGGCGGGAGGCTCACTTGAACTGGGGAGGCAGAGGTTGCAGTGAGCCAAGATCATGCCATTGCACTCCATCTTCGGCAACAAAGCAAGACTCCAAAAAAAAAAAAAAAAAAAAAAGGATAGGTTAAATATTTATTAATGGTGATTTTGACAGGTAATAGCAGGTTGCTTAATTTTGCATAAATAGAAAACATAAATATTTATAGTCATGCATCGCTTACCAACAGGGATACGTCCTGAGAAATGTATTAGGTGATTTTGTCGTGTGAACATCATAGAGTGCACTCACACAAACCTCGCTGGTACAGCCTGTTGCTCCTGGGCTGCAAACCTAACAGCATGCTCTCACTACAGTAGGCAATTGTAACAAAATGGTAAGTACCTGTGTATCCAGACGTACCTAAACTTAGAAGGGGAACAGTAAAATATGTATTATAATCTTTTGGAATCACTGATATATGTGTGGTCCACCCCTGACTGAAATGTCACTATATGGCACACAGTCATGTGCCCTACAATGACATTTGCATACAATCATATTGCAAAAGATAAAAAACAAAGGCGACAAAAAGGAAAAGTTAAAAACACAGAGGAAACGGCAGTAATAAGTTGAAATCTATCAGTCTGAATGATACACATGAATGTGAAACTCTTCTTTTGAAAGAATCTAATACTGGTTCAAAAAATAATATCTAAGTGGATTCTGTCTATTCAAGAATGTCAAAATTAAGCGACTCAGAAAGGTTACAAGTAAAATGACAGCGAAGATGTGTCAGGAGATCAAAGAAACATTTGTGCGTGCAGATCAGGGAGTTGAGAGAGAATCAAGTATGAAATGAACCAGCAGGGTCATTTCTACTGGATCAAGGGCACAAGCTACTACCTTGAGAAAGTCCTAACGGGCCCTCAGATGTGTCATCTAAGCGATGACGCTGTAAAAAGGGAGACATTGGAATGAGCCGGCACATCTCTGACTCTACTACCTCAGTGGTACGACTGCCTGTTGGGCAGCCAGGAAGGAGAGCAGCACCTTGTTAACCATGCGCCCTCCCCAGAATACAGCCACCCCAGTCATGACCAGAGCCTTCTACTCTTGTACTGAAGAGGCTTGCACTGAAGCAGAATCCAAGCCGTCAGCCTTCTCGGGCCTCTGATGGTGGCGGGCGGTTGCGCAGAGCCACTCGGGGACCTGTGGCCATCCCTGGCTTAAACTTTCATGGGCCCTGTTTTAAAGCGAGATTCAGAGCCAATAGAAAGACCTGGGCCTCCTTGGTCTCTCCACTTAAAGTGGTAGCATCGTTCCCATCTTAGTTCAGGTTCAGAATGCTGGACATTAAACAGTGTCTCCAGGCCAAGCGCGGTAGCTCAGGCCTGTAATCCCAGTACTTTGGGAGACTGAGGCGGGAGGATCACCTGAGGTCAGGAGTTCGAGACCAGCCTGACCAACGTGGTAAAACCCCATTTCTACTAAAAATACAAAAAAAAAAAAAAAAAAGCTGGGTGTGGTGGCAGGCACCTGTAATTCCAGCTACGCAGGAGGCTGAGGCAGAAGAATCGCTTGAACCCGGAAGGCAGACATTTCAGTGAGCTGAGATCGCACCACTGTACTCCAGCCTGGGCAACAGAGCCAGATTGTGTCTCAAGAAATAAATAAATAAATAAATGGCATCTTCTGCTTGCCAAACATAAATGTTCACCAAGCTAGGGATGGTGCCTGCCTGGGCCTCTGTGGCTCACCTGCCCAAAATGAGCCACATGCACAGGGGCCCAGGTGGAAACTGCCAGGTTGAGACACCCCTATAGGTGGCTGATGACTAGACGCATTCTGATTGTGGAGATAATAAAAGATGAGGCCAGACAAGGTACTTCACACCTGTAATCCCAATGTTTTGGGAGGCCAAGGCAGGACGATCGATTGAGGCCAGGAGTTTGAGTCTGGGGGCAACATAGTAAGACCCTGTCTCTACAATAAAAGATTTAAAAACTATCCAGACGTCTCAAGTGCTCACTGCCTTCCCCCTGCCCCACCCCCCGACAGAAGGTGGGCTGTGACGGTGTGATTGGCTCTAGCAAGCAGGAAGACAAGTGTGGCGTGTGCGGAGGGGACAACAGCCACTGCAAAGTGGTCAAGGGCACGTTCACACGGTCACCCAAGAAGCACGGTGAGTGAGTCCCTGCCCTCTGCCCTGGAGCCTGGGTGCCTGCAGCAGCTCATGCCCAGGCAGCTGTGGGCCTGACTCATCCTGGGGCTGTCCAGGCTCATGACTATTCTGGGGAGGGGGAGAGGTCTGTGACAATGAGGGGGAGGGAGAATCCTAAGTTGGCGACAGCCCCAGCCGGGTGCCAGGACGGGTGGGGAAGAGGAGAGTGGGAGCCCAGGTCACAGGGGTCAGAGCGGAGAATGCCAGTATATGGGGGTGCCCAGGTTGGGCTTTAGAGACTAGCCCAGAGACAGCAGCTTTCCTGGTGACCCCTGTCAGGTGGGTACTCAAAACCTGAGAAATACCAGGGTCCTGGGAGAGCCCCCAAGGGAACTGCCTTCAAAGGCGAGGCCCCTCCTTGCATTGTGCGAATTCGAGCGGCCCCTTCCCTTCTCAGTTTGCTGTGTCTTTCCACATCAAACAAAGGTTACATCAAGATGTTTGAGATCCCTGCGGGAGCCAGGCACCTGCTCATTCAGGAGGTAGACGCCACCAGCCACCATCTGGGTGAGTCTCAGAGCCAGACTCCTCTCGGGTCAGTGGGAGAGTGCCATGGTCAGGGGCCTGGGTTGTGCGGCCATGACCTGAGCCAGGGCAGCCCCTTCTCCACCTGTCTCTCTGCTCAGCCCACCTGAGCCCTTTCCTTATGGAGAGGCCAAAGTTTGGGATCAGAGGGCTCTGCTTGGCAGCAGCTATGGAAGGACGTGTATCCAAAAGATATGTCCCTCAGCCTACAGGCTAACTCCCTGTCCCTGTTCTCATGGTCAGGGTGGGAAGTCCCCCTGCCCTCTGGAAGGCACGCAAGGTCCTGGGCAGCCCTGCCATCCCCACAGTGAGGCCAGCTGGCCAGTGGGTGCTCACAGTGCACTTACATATTTTCAAATGACTTAATTTTAAATTCAAGAGATTCCAGCTAAAATAGGGATTCTGGCATCTCCTGAAAATGTGGATGTTCTCACACCTCTTGAGTGCCCCTTTCCATGAGGCAGCCCTGCCTGGGAGACCGCGCCCTCCCAGGTCGCCCAGGAGGCTCTCAGGACCCGTCTACCCTCCCCTTGAAAGTTCCTGGGGCTCTACCTTCTGGGGACTCGTGGGCCAAGGTCACAAGTGATGCCCCGGAATGCAGGGGCCCCTGCACAAGTCCCTTCCCCAATCTGAGCCCCACATTCGTCCCCATCCCCAGGAGGCTGGACAGAGTCAGGGCTCCCATGCTGCTGTGGACCAGCACCCACGCTGCCCGACAAACACGCTGTGCCCTTTTATTTTATCTCCCTTTTGTTTTGTTTTATTTTGTTTTTATTTAGAGACAGGGTCTCACTCTCTCGATACTCTTCTTTTTTCTTACTTAAGAGGAAATTTTAGACTGCTACCCTAAATACAAAATCCATACCACCTGCCTTAAGCAGAAGGTGAACAGAAAAGTCAGTTCCTGAACAAAAAGACGTTTCTGTCCCAACATTGCTTCCTGCCACCGCCTCTTGGGCTGAGGCTGGTCTCTGTGGAAAGGGAGCAAAGGTCAGAGAGAAGTCAGGGACCTGTGGCACCAAGCAGAGGCTTCCTTTGTGAGTGGACAGAATGACAGGGGGCTTGCAGGGAATGATTCTTTCACTGGTACCCTGTCTGCGGCCCACTAACATCTCCCAGCTCCCCCACAGCAGCTACCCCCCCACACTGCAGAAAGCATGGGGCTTCCTGGCCAGACAAGTCCTCTGCTCCTAGATGACCTGAGTGTCACCCAATCAGGCCAGGCCTCTTCTGGGTCTGTGGGGAGCTGCTGGGGCCTCAGCTGGGCCACGGTTACTGATGGGGTGTGGGCCTTGCTGTTTCAGCCCAACATCTGCTCACCCCATGGCAGGAAGCCCCCACCCCAGCAGGGTCCCATGCTTGCCCATCCAGCAGATGCCCTGCACCAGGTGGAGACCCCCTCCCAGCCATACTGCCCCAGGTAGACTCTAAGTGTCCACTGAGTGCCCCCAATAGGCTGTGGGTAGCTGGCCTTGACAGCTGCTAAGTGGCTTCCAAGGGGAGCCAGCACCCCCAGGGCTGGTGGGTGCAGAGGGTATGAGTTGAGGGTAATCTGGGTCCAAGGGAGCAGTGACGGGCAGGCGGGGCTCCCAGAGCCATTTGGGCTGTCAGTGGCACAGAGGAAACCAGCAGGGGGCAGCCAGAGAGACAAGGGATTCAGCTGCCCACCACTCCCCGCCTGCCCAAACCAGGAGACATCGCCAGGCCTCCTCCCAGAGGGCCTGGCCCTGCCTTTGGGTGACCACGACACAGTGCTTGATCTTGCCATTCTCAGCCATCAAGAACCTGGAGACAGGCAAGTTCATCTTAAATGAAGAGAATGATGTGGATGCCAGTTCCAAAACCTTCATTGCCATGGGCGTGGAATGGGAGTACAGGGACGAGGATGGCCGGGAGACACTGCAGACCATGGGCCCCCTCCATGGCACCATCACTGTTCTGGTGAGTTCAGGCAGGGCTGGGCCCAGGCAGGGGTGCAGGTAGCCCCGGGGGAAGGATGGAGGTGCCTGGGACACTGAGCCTCCTGACCCTTCAGGTCTCACCCTGCCCTTGGCACCAACAGGCTCCGACTTGGGCAGAGCCAGGAACGACCATGCACCCATGAGTCAGGGCTCTGGGCCCCACATGACCCCTGGGTGACCTTGAGCACTCTCTCCCCTTTCAGGGTTTCGGTTTAGTCATCTGAAGGACGTTCACATCTGCCCTCAGCATGCTCGTTTTAGCATGCTGTTACACTGAAACCTGGTAACACTGGGAAGTGACAGTCAGGACCCGGGAAGCTAGACGCCCAGACCCAGGTTGCACTGGAATGTGTCTCTAAGCACGACTGGACCCCAGATCTTCTGGGTCTGGGCCACAGGCTGCTCCCGTTATAGGAAAGTACCAAGGGAGCTGGATTTTCAAATCACTTTTTTTTACTTGGTTTCAAGGAAGCCAGATCACTTTTTAAAATTTAATTTTAACTGCATAGGGATGTATTTTATTTGTCAAAAAATGTACACATCACAAATAAGGCTCCCCTGCCCCAGAGCCCCTCCCCTAAGGTGGGCATGCTGGCCTTGGGATTAATTAGCCAGCCCATAGCGCTCCACATGTGGGTGCACCTGTGCGCAGGTGCAGCAATGGGCCAGGCGTGCCCCATGTACCCCATGCCACCCTGCCCACCTTGCCTGCAGTGACTTCTTGCCCCCTGGAAGTGCCTTTGGTGACCTGCCTGTGTCAGTGGGTAAGCAGTCGGCCCTCGGTATTCACGGTTCCTGTGTTTGCAAATTCACCTGCTCAGGAAAATTTACTTGTGACCCCCACAGAGCGGTGAAAAGTGTGAGTTGCCTGACACACACATTCCCAGCAGAGGTGGGAGCAGCTCGACACGCCACCTGCTTGTTTCTGCTCTCATCCCACAAGCAAAGGTCCTTTCTGCAGTCTGTTGAGTGTCACATATTTCCCATTTTGTGCTGCTTTGGGGGCAATTTCGCTGTTTAAAATGGCCCCGAGCCTATTGCTGAAGGGCTGTCCAGTGATCCTAAGCCTAGGAAACAGTGGTGTCTTAAGAAGAAAATACATGTGTTAGATGATAAGCTTCATTCAACACGGGCTGCAGTGCTATTGACTGTGAGTTCAATGTTAATCAATCACAGTAAATGTTAAATAAAATGTCTTTAAACAGACTCACACATAGGCTGAGTGCAGGGGCTCATGCCTGTAATCCCTGCACTTTGGGAGGCCAAGCCAGGTGTACTGCCTGAGGTCAAGAGTTTGAGGCCAACCTGGCCAACATGGTGAAACCCCCGTCTATACTAAAAATACAAAAATTAGCTGGGCGTGGTTTTGGGTGCCTGTAGTCCCAGCTACTCGGGAGGCTGAGGTGGCAGAATCACTTGAACCCAGGAGGCCGAAGTTGCAGTGAGCAGAGATCACACCACTGCACTCCAGCCTGGGTGAAAAGAGTGCAACTCCATCTCAAAAAGAAAAACAAAAACAAAAAACAGACTCACACATAAAACGAGGTTATATATTGATCAGGTAACAAAAATGTTGAGACAGAGGCTCACAGGAACCTAACCCTGTGCCCCCTGGGGTAATGGTTGCGTATTCATGAATTTGGTGCTCGAGGTGACTTCGTGGAATGTAACTGCCATGAATGATGAGACTCCTCTGGAGTCTGCCTCAGCTGCCTTTCCTGAGCTGGCTGGGGAGGAAGCATGGAGGGCAGGGCAGGCCAGGACGTCTCGGCATCTTGGGCTGGTGACAGGTCATCCCGGCGGGAGACACACGGATCTCACTGACGTACAAATACATGATCCACGAGGACTCGCTCAACGTCGACGACAACAACGTCCTGGAAGATGACTCTGTGGTCTACGAGTGGGCCCTGAAGAAGTGGTCTCCGTGCTCCAAACCCTGTGGTGGAGGTGAGGGGGCTTTGGAGTTGGGGACCGGGGTGACATGAGGGTGACCACGAGAAGGTGGGAGTATCCTGGCGTGGGGCCCAGCATGAGCAAGGGCTGAGGAGGCATAGTAGGGACCTTTGCCTGGGTGGACAAGGGCTTAGCAGCACTGGAGGAGCCAGTGGGTGGGCAGGAAGGGTGGGTGCTGGGGCGTTGGGTCAAAGGTGGCCAAAGAGCATGTGTGGGGCACAGACCATGTCTTTGTGGGTCTGCTTCAGTGTGGGGGTGACAAGCTGGCCTGGCAGGAGGTTGATGTGTAGCAGCTCAGAAGGGTAATGCCTGGCATTGGTAGGATGGCACAGGCAAGACTCCAGCAGTACAGATGACACCCCAGGGGCCCCTCCCTCTGTTCACTGGGAAAAGCCTCCCAGATGTTCCTGGACCAGGACTGGGAACAAAGGGGTCTCACCCACCCTGGATACCAGACAGTCTGCAGTTGATGGACGTAGGACACAGAGGTGGCCAGGAGGTGCTGACCTGTCCTGCATACTCACTGCTCCTGGGGGCTGGGCGATACGAGGCAGGTGGCCAGGACAGACCTCCCTAAATGCCATTTCGGGCCCACACCTAGAGGACAAGGAGCTAACCAAGAGAAGGGGTAACTCCCTGGCCCAGGCAGGTGGAAGGGTCCTCTTCCAGGGACCCTGCGCACCCCCAGCCCCAAACCCATCCTGGATTTTATCAGCACACCCACCCCTGGTGATTCCTACAAATCTCCTGGGCCTGTCTACTATTCCCATCTTCGCGGCCATCCCCTGGTCTTCGCACCTTCCTCTGGACTGGCCCTTGTGTGTCTACTCTCACCCCAAAGCGTTTGAGGAGACACATCAAACGGCATCTCTTCCTGGTGTCATAGTCTTCAGCAGCTTCCCCTGCTCTTAGGATAAAAAACAAAATCCTCATGGCTTCCAGGGTCGGGGCAACTTGTTGGCCTTTCCCGGTATATTTCAACTCTGTCCCTCGCCCCCAGATCCTGGCCACACTGGCCTTGTGGGCTTTCCTAGACACGCTGTGCTCACCCTTAGGGCCTCTGCTCAGGCGTCTCCTCACCTGAGCCCTTCCACCAGCTTCCCACCATGTCAGCCTCCCCAGCCTCTGCTTCCTGGGGTATCTCCAGGCACCCAGAGGAGGTCAGGCTTTGTCTCCTTGCTTTCTTTGGTCTCACCCAGCAAGCCAGGGTTTCGCAGCCTGGCATCACTGAGAGTTTGTGCTCCGTCACTCTCCACCGTGGGGGCTGTCCTCTGCACTGCCAGGTGCCAAGCAGCATCCCTGGCCTCTGCACGCCGATGCCAATAGCACCCCCTCCCCCAGTGATGACAACAAAAGTGTCCTAGACATGGCCAGATGTCCCCTGCTGGAGAACATGGCCCCCTTTGAGAAGGGCTGCCCCAGGACTGTGGGAGGAAGCATGCGGGCTGCAGGCCCCATGCTTGCCCGGCTCCTGGCTTGCACCAGGCCCACTGGGCATGTTAGGTCAAGGTGGAACCGGTGTCCTAGCAGTAGAAAGGAAATGGGGCCTCCACTCTGACCCAGGAGCCCAGTGAGGGAGAAGCAGCCGAGGAGAGAAGGTGACCTCTCTCCTGTCCTCTCACTCCTCTGCCTGAGGCACACCAAGGCCTCCCCACAGCCAGCTGCAGGCTTGGAGTCCTGCCCACCCTTATTGTCATCACAAGGGTGAGCAGGAGAATGAGGCCAGCACTGCTGGCGAAGCCCACCCCTCCCTGCACCCTTGGGCGGGGCGTGCCACCCCACTGAGCCCCTTCAAGCTCTCTGTCTTCAGGGTCCCAGTTCACCAAGTATGGCTGCCGCCGGAGGCTGGACCACAAGATGGTGCACCGCGGCTTCTGCGCCGCCCTTTCAAAGCCCAAAGCCATCCGCAGAGCGTGCAACCCGCAGGAGTGCTCCCAGCCAGTGTGAGTGCCCCCAGCTCGGGCTCCCACTAGAGGGGGGAGGCCAGGGGCCACCAGGAGCTCCCGTGCATGGAGGTGTGGGGCCTGAGCCTGGCATCATTCAAGGCATTTGACGAGGTCTTTCTCACCACATTTCATGGAATCTAAAAAGCTGCAGGGCAGAAGGTATCCCAGCTTCAGAACTGCCAAACTGAACAGTTATGTGCATCTTAAAGATGACGACAAACAGTGATGCCCAGATGGGGAAACAGAGGCTCAGCGGGCCCGGGGCTTGCCTCCTGGCCCTGTGGTAGATGTTGCTTAAGCAGTGGCTTTGATGCTCAGGCCCTGGGGTGGGGGTGGGGGGCGGGCAGCTGCATTTCTGGGCCCAGGGACCTCAGTGGGGAAGACAGTTGGTAAATGGGCAGGCCCCGTGCTTGTCCACATAGGACCGGGTGCTGAGGGAATCCACACTGCTCTTGAGCTCTGTGCAGAAGAGTTGTGACATTAGCAGAAGGTGAGATCAGGTAGCTGGACTCTAAGGAGGCTGGGAAACTGCTTCAGGCTGGGGCCCTCCACAGCCACCCACTCTGCCAGGGTCTCCCAGTGGTGACATGCATGGGACTCATCATCAATAGGACCTGGAGCAGCCAAGCCTCAGTCCCCCCACTGTGCAAGCCTGGATGGCCAGCACTTTAGTGAGAATAAGCGAAAATGAACTGAGGAGGGGAGCAGGCTGCCCTCTGTTCTCGCTGTCCACCTGGGCTGCAGGGAGCGGTGCTGGAGCTCAGCGAGGCAGGTTCTCCAGGAGCCACAGAGGCCTGACCATGCACCGCTCTGCCCTGGCAGGTGGGTCACAGGTGAATGGGAGCCGTGCAGCCAGAGCTGTGGGCGGACAGGCATGCAGGTGCGCTCTGTGCGCTGTGTTCAGCCCCTACACGACAACATCACCCGCTCCGTGCACACCAAGCACTGCAATGACGCCCGGCCTGAGAGCCGCCGGGCCTGCAACCGCGAGCTCTGCCCTGGCCGGTGGCGAGCTGGGCCCTGGTCCCAGGTAAGCAATCTCGTGACCCCATGTCCTCAGCTCCCAAACTGAGTTTGGGTGGGACTGAGGTGGCCAGAGCATTCCCCTTTGGCATGTGGGCCTGGATGTAGCTCCTGTCCTGAGCCACGTCTCGTGGGTTTCAGGGCACCAGTAGGTGCCACATGGTCAGTGCTAGGCTAAGAAACCAATGGAGTGTGTGTCTGCATAGGCAGAGGCTTCTGTGTGACATGGGGTCTGGAATCCCAGGAAACTGAGGGTATCCTGGGCTCCAAGGCCCAGTGGGATGTTCAGGGCTCCAGGATCAGAGGGGAGGTCTGGGATCTCCTGCAGAGGTGGGAGGGGTGTCTAGGAGGCCAGCCAAACTTCTAGGAGGGGGATAAGCAGGGAGTGCTTAGGCTTGTGCTGGGAGGAATAATGAGGATGGACTGAAGGGCAGGTTCTAGGTGGTCCTGGGGCAGGGCCTGAGAGCCAGCCGAGGCCAGGCCAGGGCTGCCATGAGCTCTGACAGCCCACTCACTGACCTGGTGTGTCAGGGGTTCCCCAAGACCATCCTCAGGCTCAGTAATCTACCAGGAGGACTCACAGACTCAGAAGTGGGACTCAGTTGCAGGGTCTTAACAGTGAAAGAACACAGAGTAGAATCAGGAAAAAGGGAAAAGTCACAGGCGAGGAGGTCAGGAGGAATCTAGGCACCAGCTCCCGTTGTCCCTTCCAGTGGGGTCACAGAGATGCACTGAATTCTCCCTGTACCCATGTGTGGCAATGCACATGAAATGCTGCCAACCAGGGAAGCCTACCAGAGCCTGGCCGTCCGGGGTTTTCACTGGGGTCAGCCACATACATAGATGTGACCTCAGGCTTTAGAGGAAAAGCAGTGTTCCCCATCCATCATTGTTGGTATGAACTACCCGAACCAACTGATACAGCGTGACTCAAGGCCTCACTCAAGGCCTCAAGCATGCAAGGGCACCCTTAATAGGTGGAACCTTCCATGAGCTTGGTTCCCAGGAGCTGCACAAGGGCCAAGCTTCACAAGGCACAAGCCTTGAAAACATGTTGGCTGGACCCAGTGGTTCATGCCTGTAATCCCAGCACTTTGGGAGGCTAAGGTGGGCAGATAGCTTGAGCCCAGGAGTTAGAGACCAGCCTGGGCAACAGGGCGAGATCCTGTCTTTAAAAAAAAAAATTAGCCAGGTATGGTGGTGTGTGCCTGTACTCCCTGATCCTCAGGAGGCTAAGGTGGGAGGATTGCTTGAGCCTGGGAGGTGGAGGTTGCAGTGAGCTGATATCATGCCACTGTACTCCAGCCTGGGCCACAGAGTGAGATCCTGTCTCAAAAACAACAAAAGAAAAAAGAAAACAGACCTTTCTTGGGAATGTGCAGGGTTTGAACAATCCAGGTCTGCTGAGTCAGCCGTTTCCTGAGCATATGGTGAGGACTGGAGAGTTTTCCTTGGACAGGGCTGGGCGTGACTGCTCCTTCTGGCACCTCCTTGGTCAGTGTGGTGGAGCAGGGGGGGTACTGAGGGCTGGAAGAGCTAGTGAGGGCACTAGTGGTACAGCCTTGTGTCCAGGATTGTGGGGAGCCTACTGGAGCCTCCTAGGCTGGGTCAGAGCTTTCCCAGGGACCCCACCTCAAAGCCTGCCCAGTGCACAGCAGGTTTCCTGGGCCTTGGACCTCTTGCAGCCAGAGAAGGGAGGCTGTCATTAAGAGCCCAGCAACGCCAAGACTATGCCGGTCTGTATATGGGAACTGTCTCACAACAGCTCAGAGAGACAGGCATGTGGGTCCCTTCTTTAGAGCCCCAGGAGATTGAGGCAGCCTCCAAGGGCGGAGCAAGGCAGCCTCTAACCCCACTCTTCCCACTACCCCACACCTCCCGAGCGCATGGGTCACATGCCTGGGGACTGTGGGCTCCTCCAGCTCTGCCAGTATGGGCCCTGCTGAGAGGTGAACCCTGCCTGGCGACTTTCCCCCTGCAGTGCTCAGTAACCTGTGGCAATGGCACCCAGGAGCGGCCAGTGCTCTGCCGCACCGCGGACGACAGCTTCGGCATCTGCCAGGAGGAGCGGCCTGAGACGGCGAGGATCTGCAGGCTGGGCCCCTGTCCCCGTAAGCCCTCTGCAGCCCCTGCCCCTGCCCCTGCTCCCAAAATGCAGCAGCCCAGGGCGACAGGAGTCGGAGACTTGGTTCAGGCAAATCTGGCCCTTCCCTGAGAGTAGCAGCACTCAACATCTGTGAGCGTGGAGAAGCAGAGCACTGCAGGCCAGGGCCAGGACCTTTGCCTGGCAGGACATGGAGGGAGCTGTGTGCAGCTGACTCGCCCCTCCCTGCTTTCAGGGCACTTCAGACTCACAGTGACAAGAGGACTCTGCCAGCTAGGGGGTGCCTGGTGCCTAAGGTGTAGGAGGTGCCTGCATGAATAGGAAGGTGCCTGTGTGGGTAGGGGATACCCGTGCGAGTAGAGGGTGTGCTCTGTGCCCTTCAAGGAGAACCTGCTGCGCACAGTTGCCTGGCCAAATGCTGTGCAGGTGTCACCTCCAAGGTCTCCACACAGCCTCCTAGGCTGGGTCAAAGCTTTCCCAGTGCCCCACCTCAAGACTAGAGTTTGCCTGCCACAGTTTCCTTCTACAGAGTAGGGAGCTCAGGGGGCTCTAGGCACCTGCCCCTATATGGGGAGGGTGGATCCAGGATCTCTCATTCCCAACACACTGCTCTGTCCAGGTGTTCTGGGAGCTGAGAGATCCAGACAGTGGGTGGAACCCCGGGAGCAGGGAAGGGCACAGGGGCAGAGGAGCCTGCACAGAAAAGGAGGCGACAGGGCCCGCATGCCAGGGCAGTGAGAGACGGGATAGATGAGACCCGGGATGCTGTCGGAGGGGCAGGAGGTGGGCATCGACTTGGCAGCAGAGGACAGTTTGTCTAGGGGGAGGGCCTTCAATGATGCTTCCCCAGGACCCCAGAAGACCCAGAGCCTCTCTGTCTGGGGTAGGGGCCCCAGCCCGGTGCCCTGCAACCCCAGCCCCTCTCTCCTCCCTCTAGGAAACACCTCCGATCCCTCCAAGAAGAGCTACGTGGTTCAGTGGCTGTCCCGCCCCGACCCTGACTCGCCCATCCAGAAGATCTCGTCAAGTAACCGACCCGTTTATAACTCTGTCTCTGCGCTCCAGTGCATGCCCTGCGCCCTGTGGAGCTTGCCTTGGGCCCCCCTCCTCTCTGTCTATGGAAAGCTCCCCTGACTCTCCGGGCGCGCTCTGGGGTGACCGTTTTCTTCCGGGTCTGTGAGCTCGGTGTCTGCTCCGGGCCGCGCGGCCTGCTGTCGGGGCCAGCCTCGCCGAGGCGTGGCGAGGGCTCGGGCCTCTGCTGGGGCCGGAACCTGGTCGGTGATGGCTTGTAAAGGGGCAAAGATCTGTCGTGGTTGCAGGAGGGGCCAGTGGCCAAAGGGCAACCCTCTGGGCCGAACCCGCCCCCAGCCCCGCCCACCCTTGAGGCGTTGTCTTGGGGGTCTCGGGGGCGCGGTCTTGCGTCGCCGTGCGGGGACCCCACCTCGAGTTTCCAGCGCTGCCAGGGGCTTCCCGGCTGCCACCGCTGTCGCTGCTGCTGCTGACCCTTTGCTGAGCGTGTCCTTCTGACTCGTGAAACTATGGCCTGCTTCCACCCGGCCTTCCGCAACTCACAGCCCCGCCCGGCCCTGTCCTGCGGGGGTCGGTCACGGAGGCGGCAGAGGGACGCGTCCTTCCGGGGCGGGGCGTGAGGACACTCCCCACCTCCATTGTCCGCCCTTTAGCCCCAATGGCCTTTTCTCATCTCGTGCACAGTACCCCCTCCGTAGGGCTGAGAGAGAGTGACTGGTGCGGGCGTGCCTCGCCTACCAGTGTGAACAACTACAGAATTACCTCAATTTTTATTGCTTTTTTGCTTAGAAAAACTATGTAGAAAATGCCTTAAAGTTGAAAGGTAACAGGATTGGCTGCTAACTCCAGCTTCAGGGGGGAACGTGGTACAGGTAGGAGGCAGGGAAGCTATAGGGGAGCTGGTCCGTTCATCCACCTTTTGCCAAGGTTAAGGTTTCCAAGTGCAGATGGCTTTGCGCCTTGGGCTGAGCGGTGCGTGCGGTCCGTCTCTGCGGACTGGAGTCTGCCCTGATGCCCACCTGGGCAGTCGGCGCTGACTGTTGCATGGAGCCCCAGAGCGTGCTCCACAGCGCGGCCTTACACCCAGGGGGCGACCTCCTGGGCCCTGAGCCGCGAGCCATGTAGCACTCCGCCCTGCCCCTCCACACCAGACACCGCCTCTGTTCACACTGCATCCCTGCCGGGCGGCTGGCCCCTACCCCTGCGGCTCTGATCACTGTTCTGTAAATAACCAGTGTGCAACTGCGTACTAATCTCACGACTGTTAACTTCCAACTTTGCCGAGGCCATGCGAGCACGCGCGCGACTGGGAAAGGTGCAGTACTGTCCTGGGCATATGCACTTTGGTTTATCAGGGATATTTTATTCGTGTTTTGTATGTATTTAATGACGTATTCTATAGGTTCCATTGTCGTTGCTTTTCTGTTTTTTTTTTTTTTTATGAGACGTTAGCGTGTGCCAAAGTGACTGTGAAAATGACCTTTTCTTCTTACTAATGATGGAAAGACCTCCTGTCATGCATCCCACAAATAAACTCAATAAAAGTTCCATAAAACTGGGTGCGTGGGTTTGGCAAGCTGATGGCTCCTTCTCTTCTTCATGGCCCAGAGTAGCATTAATGAGCACGGTTTCTGATTCCAATAACTTTACTGCCCCACTCCCCACTGCCCAACATAGATATTTAGGGCCCATCTCCCCGGAAAGTTTTATCTCCTCTCCCCAGGCATTTTCCAAAATCTGATAGTAAACAGTTGAGACACTCCACTGTGATTCTGGGTTTTGAATTGTGTCAAATGAGCACCCTGCAAGAATATCTAGGTTCTATATGGAGGTCTCCTTGTCAGGAAAAGGGCCCCAGACGGTTTCTCCTCATCTTGGATTCAGAGCCTGTGGATTGGGAATGTGGGGCCAGTAGTCCAGACATTGCTGGTCCAGGTCACCTGCCGTGAGCCACCAGCAGATCACTGCCATGGCTCCAGGCATGGCTCTCAGCCTTGGGCTACTTGTTCAGGAAGGTAGAGGTGCCCATGTGGCTCAGGTTGGGGGGTGGGCCAGCCCCAGAAAAGCCTGGGTCGGGAGACAGGCAGGGCAGTGGTGGCTTTATGGGCAGCCAACCTGCTCGTGTCTTCCATGGTCTTCCCAGGCAGCCACAGGACCTGCGTTCTCTCACATTGCTGACAATGACCAGAAAGAGGGTTTGGGTTCTACAGGGACCTTCTGATCTGGGGCCTGGGCTGTGTCCTGCCCATGGGAATCTCACTCCTCCCTTTTTGTACCACTGAGGAGTCCTACCAGGGAGGAGGAAGAAAGCATGGGAGGCCATGAGAAAAAAAAGCGGGGAGCAGCCCAGCATCATGGGGACAGGCCTCAAGCACAGGACCAGGCCCAGGGGCTATCCTGGGGAGGGAGCAACCATGGTAGCAATGGCTGAGTTCAGCCTGCCCAGAGCTCAGATCTTTATCAAAAGGAATCACACCTTAAGGGAGATAAGGAGCATCAGGGAAAATTGGGTCTGAAGTACTTCCCTCCACTCTGTCTCCCTACCCAGAGATGGGTCAGGAGCAACACCCCCTAAGGGACTCCTAGGCCGGAACTGGAGACACTGCCTACAGCACAGTTGCTGAAGAGGGCACGTCTGGAGGATGGTGCCTCACTTTTTAAACCAGCTGCATGACCTTTTGAATGTTGGTATGAGTGCCTGAGCCCACCACTCCTTTATTGAGAAATGAGAATGATGTATTCTCCATCCAGCGTTTTCAAAACTGTGTAATACTGTAATACCAGCCTTGGAAAAGCTACGGGCAACAGGAGAGGGGGCAGTGTGTGGCCAGGGTGTCCTTCCCAGTACCACCAGGCCCAGGCTCCCTCCTTTATCAAAGCATATGGGATGGGGGGTGGGGAGGCTGTTATCAGCTCTTATGCAGACCCCCCTGTGTCTCCCTGAGGGTGGGGATCAGTAGTTTCACACCTTAAGCCTCCCAGGCTGCTGGAGATGATGGGGTGGGGCAGGGACAGGAGCCCTGTGTCTCCTCCGCCCATCTTCAAATAGCATTATCACCAGCGTCTGATTCTATCTGTTTCATATATTGGGGATCTGTGTAAGATTTTTATCTGAGAAAAGCCTTCTGTCAGTTTCAAAATCCTGACAGCTACATCTCAGGATCCTACAATTTGATTTCTAGCATCTCCCCTGGCACCAGGCCCTTCCCCTTTCCCCTCGGCATCATGAGCATGGGTTCTTGGCTCACTGTCAGAGAGACCCCTGCTTCTGATGGCCGATGGGTTTTAACTCCCTTTTCATGGTGGACACTGCAGCCAGTCATGTATTCTCCTTGTTTTGGTCACTTAGAAGCTCAGGGCCAAAGTTGGGTGCCCCTCTGACACATGGCCTCCCTATGTTCTTCTTGCCTAGAGCTTTGCTATTTTAAGATTCAAAATTTCCCTGTTTTGAACTTCCTCAGTTACTCACATTTATCTTTTTCATACCTTATCTTTTTTATGCCTTTATGCATTATTTGGTTCACTGTTCTAGGCTCTGGGGCTCTGCCCTTTGGAGCTTTCAGGATAATGAAAAAGTCTGGCACTAGTCAGTTATCTGACATCAGATGTGAGTTTGGCTGGGAAGGCACAGCTGCTGAGACCATGTGCTGCCGAGACCTTACCTGTTCAAGGAGGTCAGGTGATGCCTGCCTGAGGAAGATGTGCTCCAGCTGCACCTGAAGGAGGTTGGGTGGTAGCTGAAGGCAGGAGAGAGGCATTGCATGTGCAAAGGCCCTGTGGCCAGAAGGAGATCCATGCAGAGCAAGGAGTTTAAGGCCTGAAGGAGGCGGGAGAGGGAAGGGGACAGGTCATAGGCTTCAAGCGAGGGTGGGGTGTGTGCCATGGTCACATCTTCAGTGAGAAAACAGCACTCTGACTGGAGCAGGATAGCCAGATGACATGGGTAAAGAATGGACACAGACCCCTCCCATGGCACAGCCAAGAGGCAGCTCAGCCAGGGTGGAGGTAGGAGAGGGGGAGGAACAAGGGCATATCTGATAGTGTCTAGGAGGGGACACCCAGGTGTTTGGCTTGTGGGCCTGAAATACCATGCACTGAGACGGGGTGTTGCAGCAGAAGCCCTGAGCTCCGGCTGCATGGGTTGAGTCTCACGGGCTTTGGGGACCCACAGGCACTTGGTGGATGTGGCTTGTAGCAAGTCTGAAGCTTCAGAGGCTTGGGGCTGGTGGTCTGTCACCAGCTTCTAAGGGAAAATTACAGGCTGAAGCAGTGGCCATTAAGAAGCAGGAGGACATCAGAACCACTGGCCTTTGATGGGAGGAGGGGGGTCTTGTCTGTTATTGCGGGAAGCTTCAGTGGGTTGGATGGCTTCAGATGTAGATAATGCCATATGTCGGTGTATGGGGTAACTGTGTCAGATGTGGCCCCCCTCCAATGCCTGCCCCTTTTTCCCTCCCTCCCTTTCTTCCTCCCTTGTCTCCTTGTGTCCCTCCCTCACTTTCCTTTTTTCCTTCCTTTCCTTCCTTCAATTCCTCCTTCCTTTCACTTCTCCCTCCTTCCTTCCTTTCTTTCAATAGTAGATAAGTTCAACTAAGGAGAGTGAGGGAAAAGGAGGGCACATCAAGGGTTGGTGTGGGAAAAGTCTGAAGTCATCACTGTGGAGAGTAGAGAGTGGCTGAGCAGAGACCATAACAGGCAGTGTTGGGCTCACGGAGGTCGGTGATTAGGAATTTATTGAATCAGATGTCTCCTGTAACACGACTTAATCTTTCATCTTGAGTGAATTTTTTTAAATCTTCTCAATTTGGCCGAGTGTGGTGGCTCATGCCTGTAATCCCAGCACTTTGGGTGGACGAGGCGGCTAGATCACAAGGTCAAGAGATTGAGAGTCTCCTGGCCAACATGGTGAGATCCTGTCTCTACTAAAAATACAAAAATTAGCCGGGTATGGTGGCATGTGCCTTTAGTCCCAGCTACTCAGGAGGCTGAGGCAGGAGAATCGCTTGAATCCCGGGGCAGGCAGAGGTTGCAGTGAGCCAAGATGGTGCCTCTGCACTCCAGCCTGGCAACAGAGCAAGACTCGGTCTCAAAAAAAAAAAAAAAAATCATCTCAATTTTTGTGTTGTGGAATGAGCGGGTGGGGAGAGGGAAGGGCTGAAAACTTGGGGAGAAGACAGAGAGTAAAGAGAGTGAGAGCAGGAAGAGTTGATGGGCTGAATGAACATAGCTGCAGACAGAGGTGGAGATGGGCCAGAGAGAAGATGGCTCGGTGGAAAGTGAGAGATAATGGTGGCTTCTGTGGAGACTCGGGACTCTTCATGAAAGCTGGACCACAGTTGACCGGCTTCTTGGGTGGAAATGAAAGAGAAACATGTGCAGGCAGCATGTTTTTTCAGGAAATGGCTGGATGCTCAAGGTGGCAGTGCCATAGGGGGATGGAGCAGAGGCTGGACATGAAGTTGTCAGGAAGGAGGCAAGTGTAGGAAAGCCCATGCAAGTTTGGGTGATTTTTGACTTTCCTTTAGGCACTGTTCAGTTAAAAGATCATCTGGGGCATTTGGGTAAGAATGGGAGCAACATCTGGGAGTTGTGGAGAGCAGTGGGGCCACAGCAGCGCTGGGATTTGCTATATTGAGTCTTAGGAATTGGCTCTTTTAGGTTAAATTTTGTTATAGTTACCACTTATAGATTATTGTAGAGTCAAGCCTTGACACAGAATTTCACTGGGGTTACCACTGGGATGTCAAATGTGAAGATGTGATGAAGTCCTATTCCTTCAGATGAGCTTAGAATTGCTCTGTAAGAATGAACAGGCCTCATTTCTTTCTCAAACTTTTAAGAGATACTGAAACATCCAGGTTCAGCTGGGGCCTGCTTGGAGAAAGGAAGCCTTGCTCACAGCTTGTGTGTCAGCACTTCGGGGCAGGGGTCCCTAGACGCTGCCTGCTCTGGGGATGTTCTGACACTGAACCCACACAGACTTTCTGCCTGGGCTCACTTGCCTCTGTGCTGTCTCTGGGCTCTTCCATATGCCTCCTCCAGCAAGCTGCACCCTGTGGGGGAACAAAATCCCCCTTATCTTGTCATTTGGTTATTTGTCCCACTTTTCTCTTTCAGAGGGCCACTGCCAAGGCGACAAGTCAATATTCTGTAGGATGGAAGTCTTGTCTCGCTATTGCTCCATCCCAGGCTACAACAAGCTGTGCTGCAAGTCCTGTAACCTGCACAACAACCTCAGCAACGTGGAGGACAGGATAGAGCCACCACTCGGGAAGCATAACGACATCGACGTGTTCATGCCCACCCTCCCAGTGCCCACTCTCATCATGGAGGTGCAGCCATCGCCAGGCACCCCCCTGGAGGTCCCTCTCAATGCCTCCAACACGAATGCCACAGAGGATCACCCAGAAACCAATGCTTTAGATGAACCCTACAAAATCCATGGCCTGGAAGATGAAGTCCAGACACCCAATTTAATTCCTCGACGACCGAGCCCATATGAAAAGACCAGAAACCAAAGAATCCAAGAGCTCATTGACGAGATGCGGAAGAAAGAGATGCTCGGAAAGTTCTAATAAAATGGACAGATAGCATCACTAGCACTTTTTTCTTGCTTATAGAGATATTCCATGGGATAGCAAATCCTGTGTCATGGAGATGAAGTCAAAATTCCTGATTCCAAAAGGTTTTGAGAAAACAAAGAGGGGGAATGACGTAAGAAAGATAGGCATGAGCATGTGGTAACTAGGTTAGCACATGCACTTCCCAGCCGAGGAGCAACCAAATCCTGCAGTGGTGTTGGGCGTGGAGTGGAGGGGAATATAAAAGCTGTATAGCCTCCATCGGTGAGGGCAGGGCAGGAGGGATCACTTAGAGAAAAAAAAATTGGCCCCAAGTTGCTAAGCAGTGATTGGGGATCTTCCTTTCTTTGGTGGTGATGCACGGCATTTCCTACCAATCCCCAGACACAGCCTGTGGGACTGTTAGGAGAAATGGTGATCTACTGCATAACTGACCAGTTGCCAAGAGTACAGTGAAGTGGAGGTGATAAACTCAAATCATCTTCCAGGGCCAGGCAGGTGACCAGGGTGAGTGTAGTGGTCTGCTGGGCACTGTGACCACCCTGACAGTCACACCCACCTAGAGCTGATTGTTGCGTTTGGCCATTGCTGCCACTGTGAAATCTGTATCTCTCTTCATGTCTGCTCCACTATCCCTGGCCTTGCCGGACAGTGTCCTTTTTTGGAAGAAGTCTAGATTTTCACATGAAAAAACTCAATCTTTAAAGGTCAACTCAGAATATTTTAAGGAGGCCTCCAGTCTTCTTGGCCTGATGCAGTCTTGCTAATTAAGAGCTAAAGGGCATCTGACCTATTTGGTGCTCATGTTGTACAGCACCTGAATGTCTCAACCAAGTCTGAGCTGTGCAGCTGTCCTCTTCACCTGGGAAAGTAATGAGAATTCTAAAACAGGACATAAGGATAGGTCTAAACAGGGTCCATGCCAAGAAAACAGTGGGGTGCCCTCCCAGGCCTCTCCCCTGTCCACTAACCCTGGCCTTGCTGGCTGCCTTCCAGGCCCTGGTGGAACAGCTCCTGCATTCTTCCCTGGCCACCTTGGCCCCAGGGCTCCCCAGAGAGCCTCTTCCCTCCCCAAGTACCTGAGAAGGATAGGGGAGGCACGTGCTCTACTGGGAAGGTTCAGTGAGCGGTTCAAGAGCCTGGAATCTCCCTAAGGCCAGGCCTAAGGATTCTGGGATCCTGGGCTTTGTGGGCTTTGCTTGCTTGCTGGGAATGGGTTTTCCCTGTCCAGCCCTGCCACACTCTTGCCTCTGTCCCTTAGAAGCCCCAGAACCCAGGAGTGACCTGCTAAATATGGCCCCTGACAGGGGTATAGGGTGGGAAATGGGGAGAGCCTACATTATCTTTTGCTCCTTGAAAACTTTAATAGCTCCTATTTTCCAGAGAATGGTGCTTTGTGAGCAAGATGCAAGTAAAAGAGAAATAGGAGGAAGGGAGTGGGGGTGGATGGGAGAAGGATGGCTCATTTTTATCTCTCACTGCATTGATATTTTGTGAACATGAAACTTAAACTTTCCAGAATTATAAGACCCAGGGGCACGTTAGCTCCTTAGCTGGGCTTAGTGTGACACATAATTCTTAAGCTTTTCCTGTTTAAGAAACTTCTAGAGGCTGTGTACTCTTGCCAATCCTCACTCTTTGAGAACTTGTTGTCGTTGATTTCCCCATTATATGGATGAGGCTCAGGATCATAGCATAGTGGCTACCTTCTACTGATTTTTGAGGTGCTAAGTATCTGAGGCTGCACATGTGTGGGTGGGTCTGTGTGTATGGTCCAAGGACAAAATGACAATGTAGGAACCAGCAAGAACGGAATCAGGGCTGACGCTTCAATCTCCACCTGGGCAATGGCTAGCCTCCCTCCCTCCGCCTCCACCTCCACATCCCACACATGTTGCGCGCTGTCCCCATGTCTCCTAAAGAACCAAACTGGAGAAAACCTTCCTGACTATCTCTCATAGTACCCGTTCCTTATGATGTGGTTTAGAGCACGTGTGCAATCCTGCCTCTGTAATTAGGAAATGGAGCCTGAGGCTTTCCATTGCTGGTTGAACCCAGGGCAACTGGTGTTATTCAACTGGGTGGTTCTTACTTGGGTCTGTCCTAGGATGTGGAGTAAGTTCAGGACTAACTCTAGGCAGAGAGTATGACTCGGTTTACCCAGCCTAGGGACCTCTGGATGGGAATGCTCCATTCCCAGATCCCAGCAGAGCAGGGCTTCCTGGCTTGAGGCTGAAAGCCCTTGGGAAGAGGCCCAGGTGGGACATTCCCTGGGCACCGTTCTTCTGCTGACAGGAGCAAGGTACCCTCTGGGAACTGACGGCTAGCATGGCTGTGACCTATGTGCCATCCTCAATCCTTGAGCCATATGTCAAAAGAGTTCTCTAGAGCCACATGGTCCTCAGAAGTCTCTCTGTTTAAGGAATGCAATGTTCACCAGGCTCTAAGAAACGACGCAAATCTCCACTGAGCTGGGGACCACTTGGAGAACTGGCTTAGTAACAGTCCTGATCTTTGCAAGCCAGCTTCTGCATCTGGGGAGCTCCTGGCATGGATGAAACTCAGGCCTTCCCCTGTGCTAGAAAATCTGCTACAGTGTCCCTGCGTCACTTCTCATTAGTGGACAGACTCGTGTTAGATTTGTGGGACCCAGCTCTCTGATTTACTCCTTTTGGAAAACCCATGGAATTTCATGTATAAGCCTCTCGTGTATTTTAAGGTTTTTCTGTTTGAGTATATAAATGGTGCTCAATAGCAACATCTTAGCAGATGAAGCGTTATGATTCTAATCCCTCCTGTATGACAGGTAGCCGCCATACTGAATCAAGGTGCTGAACTCAAATCACAAAATTCTGGCTTACTGATACAGCAATCAATACATTTTTGTTCTGTAATGTAAAATCTGACTCTTACTTTTATAACTTATTAAAGTTAAAATGTCCGTGTTTTTGCAAATCATGCCAGCGTTTGTTGATGTCTTGTTTACACTAGTGCCCGTGCCTGGCTGGAACGTGAGTGGAATGGAAGGATGTGCTGCCTTCACCAGGCTGAGAGTTCGGGGTGCTGGGGAGCACTGAGCCACGGCTGCTCAAGGAAGGACGCTGCAAAGGGCCAAAGGCACCCCGAAGAAAGGTTCCCTTTCCGAGCTCCCCAAGGGTCGGCTCTCCAAGTCACATGACTGAGCCAGGAGCTCCTACCAAATCTTTAGTTCAGGGAAGAGGTGAAAAGTCTCTGGACATCTCCTCCCAGATGACAATCCCTTCTCTCCTATGATTAGGGTTTCCAGAAAAAATACCAGATGCAGAGTTACATTTGAATTTCAGAGAAACAACACACACATTTTTTAGTATGAAATGAGATATATTTATATGAAGAAATTATTTGCTATTTCTCTGAAATTCAATTTTAACTGAGAATCCTGTGTTATTATTTGTTAAATTTGATCACACAGCCTATACTTTGTGTACCACTTCTAAAGAAAACTCCCTTATCTCTGACCCTTGTTGCTATCAGCAGGTATAGGGAAAAGCAGGGGTAGAGGGAAGAGATTTCTTCTGTCCGAATTTTTGTAAGTATTCCCATGCACTCTAAAAGAACATGGAATTGGTGGTTGTTGGGGATAGTATCTATACATGCCCATGATGTCAAATTTGTTAATTTGTTATTGAAATATTTTGCATCTTGATTTTGTTTTCTCCTTGTTCAATTGGTTTGATAGAAAGTTGGGTTTTGGGGAATTTTGTTTGTTTGTTTTTGCTGTTGTTTGTTTGTTTTTCTGAAACAGAGTTTTGCTCTTTTTGCCCAGGCTGGAGTGCAATGGCACAATCTCGGCTCACTACAACCTCCACCTCCCAGGTTCAAGTGATTCTCCTGCCTCAGCCTCCTCAGTCGCTGGGACTACAGGCACCTGCCATGATGCCCAGATAATTTTTGTATTTTTAGTAGAGACGGGGTTTCGCCATGTTAGCCAGGGGGTCTTGAACTCCTGACCTCAAGTGATCTGCCCCCCTCGACCTCCCAAAGTGCTGGGATTACAGGCATGAGCCACTGCACTCAGCCCATATTTACTCTTCTTTTAAAGAACAAGCTTTTTCACTATTTTGAAGCCATATTTAGAACATGCACATTCCTGCTAGGCATGGTGGCGGATTACAAGGTCAAGAGATCGAGACCATCCTGGCTAACATGGTGAAACCCCGTCTCTACTAAAAACACAAAAATTAGCTGGGAGTGGTGGTGTGTGCCTGTAGTCCCAGCTACTTGGGAGGCTGAGGCAGAATTGCTTGAGCCCGGGAGGCAGAGGTTGCAGTGAGCTGAGCTCCTGCTACTACGCTCCAGCCTGGTGTCTGACAACAAAACAAGACTCTGTCTCAAAAAAAAAAAAAAAAAAGAACATGCACATTTCTAATTGTTATTTTCTTAGTGACATCATCCTTTTATGAATTGGCTGATTTTATTCCCAGAAATAACTTGTCTTGAAAATTTCCTCCATGCTAGTCCAGATAGCTAAATCAGTTTTCTTTTAGTTAAAGGTTGCATGCTATAACTTCTCCTTTACTTTCCAGTTTTCTGTATCCTATGTGCTGTATTTGAGCTTTGTAGACAAAGCATTTTTAATTATAGCCCACCATTTTAACCCTTTAATTGGACCATTTAGTTTATTACATCTAATGCCGTCACTGCGGCCAGCACCCTCTGGCTGCCTTCTTTGCTCTCTGTTCCTCCTGACCGTTCAGTGTTCTTTCTCCACTTCTTTCGCACCTTCCTTTTGGATTGGGTGCTTTTTTCCCCATTCCATTTTAACCTTCTGTTAGTTGTTTTTTGTTGTTTTTTGGGGTTTTTTTTTTGCATTTTAGGTTTTGGGGTACATGTGAAGAACATGCAAGATTGTTGCATAGGTACACACGTGGCAGTGTGATTTGCTGCCTTCCTCCCCATCACCTACATCTGGCATTTCTCCCCACGCTATCTCTCCCCAACTCCCCACCCCACGCTGTCCCTGTTAGTTTTGA